AGAAGAAGCTCAAGAAGTTTAATTGGACATTACTAACAGTTTAATTTACCAGTTTATATATCACTCAGCTTTCTCTTTCTCCCACTGTCTACCCTTCCCATTTTTTCTTTTAAGCGAAATACCTCCCCTTTTTAGGGGAGTTAATAAAATCTTTATAAAAAAAAAAAGAAAATTGGTGTAATTTTATCTTAGGTACTTGTATTTTAAGTAACTGTTACCTGTGGAAAAAGTAGATTTGGGAAAATAGAACACTGAAGTATGGGGCTGGAGGTCTGACCACTGCTGGAAGCTAGATGAGGGGGAAAGGGTGGGGGGTAGGATATAGGTTAGGATTGTAACGGTGAATATAAGTTTATGTTAACATGTCTAAATATATCCTAATAAATTGTTTTTTTAAAAAAAGTTTTAGGGGCCACATCTCCTAAATCCGAATCCGAGTCAAAGATTTCACCCAAAGACACGGAAGTCGCTGTACAAGATGAACTATCTGTATTGGATTTCTGTTGTTCGCTGTTTTTTCCATTGCCTTTTCTTCCTCTGCTCCATTTCTTTGTTTGGTTGAAGATTGTTGCTGTTTAAGAAAGAGTTCTGCTTTTAATAGAGAGTCAATCTTTTCCTTCTTCTCCTTAAAGTTGAATATAAATCCTTCTGGAAAAATCCATCTGTATTGGAGATTGTTCTTTTGGAGGAATGCTGTAATATTTCTGTACTGCTTCCTTTTTTTGTGTATTTCAAATGGGACAGCTTTCAATATTTTTATCTCCTCTTCTTGAATGTTAACTGTTGTTGCTGTAGATGCTTTAAGTATTGAGTCTCTTATTGATCTTTTTGCAAATTTTACAAAAATTTCCCCTGGGAGATTATTTCCCCCCCACAAACTCTGAATAAGTTCTGTAAATCATATCAATATCTGCTTGTATTAATTCAGGTTTGTGATTAAGGGGGCCATTGCTTCGCTTATAATTTCTCGTAAGTTCTCATCTTTTTTCTCTGGCAGGGTTTTTTCAATGTCTTTTTCAACACCACTATTTCCTTTACCTTGCCGCACTCTTTTTAAAAGGTCAAGAATTATAAGATCAAAATAATGTACCTGGTGTATCTATTAGGTTTATTCTATGGCCCGCCCAATCAAAAGTCACGGCAGCCGACTGAATGGTGATGCCACGCTCTCGTTCCTGTGCCATGAAATCTGTTACGGTGTCTCCATCATCAACATCTGCAATAGGAAGATCATAACCATTTTAGTTTAGTTAGAAAACTTTAATATTTATTCTATCATACAGAATAAAACACATAATGATACAAAGCACTGTAACAAAGTGCCTAAGACCCTGATACTAGCTAAGGTAAAAATGTGGGGTGAACTGGACACGATGCCAATAAACCGGTCTCACACTGGTGTTAGGATCCAACACAGCTACAGGACTCATCCCTTGCAATAATGTGAGGAATGTGGAAAATCCAGTCACATGCATATAACTGAACTGTTCATGGCACAGCACAACCCTCAAGCAGACAGAGGCTGGAGCATCACAACATGGGAATGGAAGGGCAAGTTTACTCAGCATCTTATTCTCAACACTAGTAAGACTGCACTTTAAAAACATAAGTCAAAGGAGAATCACTAATAATGATGCAGAGCCCAATGCAGCCTACTGCACATACAATCACCTGCACATACATGGGCAGGAAAAATACAAACATCACAAAAGCATTCTCCAGAACAGAGCCTTCAGGCATCATTCCCTCAGCCCATACTCCATATCCATTCCTGATACCAGGGAATGCAAAAAGGCCTCAATGGGAAAGCCACAGTAAACAACCCCCTAGTCAAGAGCCACTGCAAAGGACCCCCACACAGCAAAATAGGTGATATGAAATGGTCATGTTGAATAACAGGATGGTGTCTTGCATGCAAAAGTGAAGAGGTGACTATCTTAGCTAGGATATATATTTAGGATCTTAAAAAGCTTAAAATTTTACTCACATTTTGGTAATTATTTCAGTAAAACATGACAAAATAAAATATTCCATGACTAACCTCCAAGGCTTCTTATGTATCCTGAATAGTATAGCATCCTTTCAGTGGTAGTTGTTTTTCCTGCATCTATGTGAGCCATGATACCAATATTACGGATTCTGTAAGAGAAAAGCAAAGACTATTCAGCTATTTTACACATTTTAAACTGAATTGTTCCTACTACTGATGATATAAAGTACTCAGTATTTCTTAAATTACTTGTTTATAACAATTGTGTGAAGTACCATATTTTAGGCTAAGACACACTTGTCTGAAACTATTGTAAATATTGCTTAGTGTTCCTTCATGTGTACATACTACAAACAGTATCAATCTTACAACCAAAGAACTATCAGTACACTCTACACAAAGAAAACAAATGATACTTACTTAGACACAGGTGGAGTGATAACAGAGCGTAAAGATTTCACCTCACCTGTTTAACAGAAAGCCAGAATTTACAACTCTAATAATTCAAATGAATGAAACATGAGTTTCTGTAATATAGGTCCCAGGGAAAAATCCTCTTGCATAGTTGCCCACTACTGAAAGAAATGATTTCTTCTGTACTGCAAGATATTTCCCATATTACCAGTCCTTGTATACATAGATCAGAAATAGCGATTAATGGTGGGGGGGTTTCCAAATAACTACACTCAGTAGACTGAACAAATGTGTCTTAAATATTCAATAATATACTTGATTATTAATTCTAAACAATCCTAAAATGCTATCAACTTCTATAGAATTTTAACACCAATTCAATTCAAGAAATAGTATCACACCAAAACAAAAACAAGCAACTGGAAGAACCTGTCAAACATATTTACCAATTTAATTATTTTCTGCTCCACGTTCATGACTACCAGTTGCAAAACCAGTTGTTTTGTTTCTAATAGCTTGCTTTTAATATTGTGATAATATTAACTGTAAGCTGTCTCAAGCATGATTCTGAAGAGGCTGCACAGAAATAACCTAAATAAATAAAATAATCTAGGGCTTTGTTTTCAAGTGCATCCTTAAACAAGAATATACAGAAGCATGTATTAGGAGTGTCTTTCATTACTTTCTCTACAATAGTACAGCAAATCTTTATGCAAGCTGCAGAGTATCAAAAAACAATTACCTGGTGGGGAAATGTAATTCCTCTGGAGATATAAGTGACTTCTGAATTTCTTTACACAATGAGTTCTTGCTTTTTGACAATATGTGCACTTTGAAGGAAAGGAGAACAATCAGAATCAGAAAACATTTTCATTATCCTGTAATAATAAATTCTGTAAATTTAAATAGCAAATTCAGTTTCAAAGTTAAAATAAACTTTCCTAGACTGATACAGGAACTAATTTTAGATAGCCTAACCACTACCCACAGATTCATCCTAACCCATGAAACTTATTATATTTTATTTACCTCCACAAAGCAAAATCATATTAAAATACCGATTTCACATGCGAGGTATTAATTATCCAAGCAATTATCATATCCTGACCATACAGGGCTTTAAAGGTGCTTACCTATATAGCCCTATACAGCCAGGGGCCAACAGATTTTCGGGACTGCCTCTTTCCATACAAGCTCTGTACAGCATTGTGATCTACAAATCAATGCCTTTTGATAGTCCCTGGTGTCAGGGACCTCTGACTTGCCTTGACTAGGGCCTTTTTGGTCCGGCCCCTGCTTGGTGGAATAAGCTCCCATATGAGATCAGGGCTCTGCATGATTTATTACAATTCCACAGGACCTATAAAACAGAGCTCTTCTGCCTGGCTTTTAATGGGGCAGCAGGCATCCCCTCCTTTAACTAGCCTCCCATCAGTGTCCTGGATTTCAAACAGCCGACTGGGGTCTACTCTATAGTTTTCATCTTTGCTACTGAGTTATTCATTAGATCCGCACGGTATTTTATAATTATTGTATTGTATTGTTTTAATTTTATTGCTTTAAAATGGGTTTAATTGTTATTGGTATACTGTATGAACATTGATAGAATGCACCCTGAGCCTGCTTGCAGGGAGGGTGGGATACAAGCCCAATAAAATAAATATTAAAATAAATAAATTATTAAAGCTCTTTCTAAAATAACCACCTGAACAGACTTACCTGACTGTGTAAGTACACCCTTTTTAGGGCACTCAGTAACAGTTTTCTCTTGTTTCGCAGCATATTGATATCTTGCCTACATAACCAAATGTCATACAAGAATGCCTGCACTTAAATTAACAGCCTGAATAATTCCCATTAAAGCCAACCACCAACATCCATTGATCCAGGCGCCGACTTAAGCAGACGCAAAAGTTTTATTTAAAAACGCATCCTATTTTGTTCCAAAATTACTATACAACAGCGAGAACATCGACTTCTTCAAGCTGTGAAAAGCGCTCAGCCATCCACTCCGGTACTTCCTTCTCAGAAGTTGGGAGGAGCCACAAAGAAGACCCAAAAGCGGCCTTGGTTTCTATTAAAGCAAGTTCCGGTATCTTTACAGTCTCAGCATGAGAAACATGCTACTTCCGTCGGGGGTGTAACCTTTATTGCCTTCCTTCCTTCTCTGTTTTGGAAGGCGACAGGTGAACGACAACTGACATTTGTACCAAGGACTTCTGCTGTTACTTTACAGTTCCAGTGTTTAAACATTTTCTCTGGACTCTAGCTAAGGGAGAACTTCATGGCTGAAGGCGCCGAAGCACTTGCCCCCCCCTCTGTAGGAAGTCGGAACGAGAGATAACGGAAGCAGTTGTTACTCGGGCCCATTTTGCAGTAGTACGTTCCTTTTCTCGCTAGACCGGCGGCCTTTACGGAGGGGGTTCTAAACCTCGAGCGCGAGACGTAGTTGGTTCCCTCGTGCTTAGCCGACATGGTGAGTGCGGAGGCAAGCGGGGTGGTGGTGATGATGTCGATGTCAATGTCGGGTCTGTAACTGGAATTGTTCGCTCGTGCTCAGCAGCTGCTCGAGGGACTTCGAGGTCCTGCTATGGAGGGATAGGTGTTAAAAGCCTCCCTTCCTCGGCATGGGAACCAGTGGCCAGCATTACTTGGGCTGGGAGGGAGGCCAGCTGCGTGTTGACATGATTAACTTGTGTGACTACAGACGTTAAAGTTTGTTCTTTCGTGACTCAAGGGGTTCTTTGTGTATCTAGCACATTTTTATTTCTACCTTACGTCCATGGAGCTCAAAGCAGTGTACTTAGTGCTGGCACTGTTTTGTCCTTGTAACAGTCATGGCTAATAAAGAATAACTGACCAGACTAAGTGAGTGTCCTGACCTGAATGGCAATTTGAACATCATTTGCCCGAGTTTGAATTCTCCCTAGTCTGATACTGTAAATACTACACTGCAAGGTTTACACTAAAACTATAGTAATTACTTTAACAGTACAGTCCTATGTACAGTTACACTTATGTCATAACGTTGATTGCAATGGGCTTAGTCAGAGTAACTGTACATTAGATTGCACTGTAGCAGCCTCAGAATAATCTTGCTGGTAGTCAGTTGTGTTGGTCTGAAGCAGTAGAACAAATTTAGAGTCCAGTGATACTTTATGTTTTGCCACAGGAGAGAGGGGTAGTTTCCTCTGTGGTCACTACAGGCTCACCGAGGCAGTTACACAAATGCATTGGAGATAGGACTGCACTTCCCCAGGCCTCCAGCAGCTGCTGATGGCCATGGGCCTCAGTGGACCTGGAGAAAAATGTTCTGTCCCTTTAATAGAAGCTCAGTGTATTGAAATGAGTAATTGAAGCTTTTAATAATATGAAGGTAATTAATCCACTATTAAAGGGTCTTTTGACAACTGCGCTCAAATACCATCATGACCAAGAAAGCAGAAGAATTGTAGTGAAATCTTTTGGACGGAGATGATTTAGTTGTTATCTAATTTTGCTATGTAAACTTCTTTGAGAACTTTTTGTTGAAGGCAATACAAATCATTGTAAATAGACATACGTTAGGCTACCTACTAATGCAGAATCTTATGTAAGACCTATTGAACTCAGTAAGGCATACTTTTGAGTATACATTCCTACTAGCAACTAGGCTGATTATCTTTGATGCTGAGAGTCTCTGATATTAGCTAGCTTCAGATCTTGATAAATCCAGAACAGTGAAATTATTTAGCCTTACATTTTGATTAATAAGGTAGGTTTGTTTTTACTGAACATTTTCTGAACTGAAAGTGTGCTGATTTAACTGAGGACATGAACCTGCTAATGTATTTTAATCAAAGTATGAAGGTCATAGTTGTCTGTGATTTATTTCAACTTTCAAAAAATAGCCCTTAGACAAAATGATGTTCTGCTACTTATCTTCATATCACTCACTACATATTTCTAATCTTTGTTGACATAACAGCCGCAGAACGAATACATAGAATTACATCGTAAGCGCTATGGTTATCGCTTGGATTACCATGAGAAAAAAAGAAAGAAAGAGGGCCGTGAGGCTCATGAGCGTTCAAAGAAAGCCAAGAAAATGATTGGTTTGAAGGCCAAGCTTTACCATAAACAGCGCCATGCAGAGAAGATACAGATGAAAAAGACGTGAGTAGCTGTTGATTCTGTCTTGGAATATTCCAGCAGCATACTTGACTCCACTAGAGTGTAAACTGTTAATTGCGTCATTATATTGATTTATTTGTCCTTTAATGGAGCTTTATAAAGCTGGGCCCGAATTAATACCTTTGGCTCAGTGTACTCATATTGTGGGGGAAATACAACGCAATTGTCTCCAGTTGATGTTCATTTTGCATAGTTTTTTGTGTTATGATTTGGTTGCTTATCTATTGTGGCTTCATTCAAATGTTTTAAATAACCTGGCATTTGTGACTGGTGTTGGAGACCCAGGCTTGAATCCCCACTCTCCCATGGAAGCTTTCCGTGTGACCCTGAGTCGTTCACACACCTTCAGCCTGAACTATCTCACAGCACTGTTGTGAGAATACAATGGAGAAGGGGAGACTGTGAGCCACTTTGAGCTCCTGTTGGGGAGAAAAGTAGCATGCAAATGAAGTAAAGTAAAATAAATAAAATGAACTGGTGGAAGAGGGGGGAGCACAAGATCCTTCTAGATCATGGCCTACATTTGGATCTCCACTTTAGCATGTAGAGCCTTTCGGCAGCTTCCGCTAATAAGCCAGCTATGACCATTTCTCAAAAAGAGGAATCTGGCCACATCCATGCTCTGATTACAGCCAGTGCTGAATGATATGCACTGGCTGCCCATTGGTTTCTGGGCACAATTCAGAGAACTGGCTCTGACTTTAAAGCCTTAAATGGCTTGCTGTCAGGGTACTTGAAGGACTGCCTCCTCCCATGTTGTCCAACCCACCAGTTAAGATCTGCCTCACAAGCCCTGCTTTCTATGCTCCCACCTTATTTATTTATTTATTTATTATTTACATTTATATCCCGCCCTCCCTGAAGGCTCAGGGCGGCTAACAGCATGTAGCTAATAAAACAGTAAAAACAATACAAAATATTAAAATTACAACATAATTTATAACCTATCTGAAGAAAAGCTATCTAAAAACAAGATGGCAGTCCTCTAAACGTCCCATTCTCGCCCATGATGCAAAAAAGAGTATTTCAGGCTTTGGTAATCCATGCCCATATCCAGATGTTCTCCAGGGCGTCGATGGTATACTGATGCGTTGGTGGTATACTGGTGGTGGTGGCGGCTCCTATTCGAAAGCCTGGCGGAAGAGCTCCATCTTGCAGGCTCTGCGGAACTGTACTAGGTCCCGCAGAGCCCTGATCTCCTCTGGGAGCTCATTCCACCAGATAGGAGCCGCCACCGAAAACGCCCTGTTCTTGGTCATGGTTAATTTGATGGACCGGGGGCCCGGTACCTCCAATAGGTTCCGGCTCCCCGACCGTAGTGCCCTTGGGGGAACGTGTGGGGTAAGGCAGTCCCTTAGGTAGGCTGGTCCCTGACCATATAGGGCTTTAAAGGTAATAACCAGCACTTTGAAGCGAACCCGGTACGCTATTGGCAACCAGTGCAGCACTTTCAGCGCAGGCCGGATGTGATCTCGTCTAGGAAGAGCCATCAGCAGCCTGGCTGCAGCATTCTGCAGTAGTTGCAGCTTCCGAATGTGCGACAAAGGCAGCCCCATGTAGAGAGCGTTACAGTAGTCTAACCTTGAGGTAACCGTCGCATGGATCACCGTGGCCAAGTCATTCCGGTCGAGGAAGGGAACCAACTGCCTTGCCAACCGAAGATGGTAAAATGCCGACTTGGCAGTGGCTACTACCTGGGCCTCCATTGTTAATGAGGAGTCCAGGAGCACCCCCAAACTCCTAACCTCCGACGCTGGCACCAAAGGCGTCCCATCGAAGGCCGGGAGAGGGAGCCCCAACCCCGAACCGATCCGACTCAGCCCCAGGACCTCCGTCTTTGCCGGGTTTAACTTCAGCCTGCTCAGCCTGAGCCACCCAGCCACAGCCTGTAACACCCTGTGCAAGTCATCTGGAGCATATTGATGACAACCCAGCCCACAACTCCGGGCAATCTGGGCAAGGGGGCGCATATAGATGTTAAACAGCATCGGGGACAGCACTACCTCCTGAGGAACGCCACATTCCAGGGCCCACCTCTGGGACCGCTGATCCCCTATCGCCACCCTTTGTCCCCGACCTTGGAGAAAAGAGACCAGCCATTGAAGGGCAAGCCCCTGAATCCCCACGTCGGCGAGGCGGTGGGCCAGCAACTGATGGTCGACCGTATCAAAAGCGGACGACAGATCTAACAACACCAGTGCCGCCACTCCGCCTCGATCCAGATCACAGAAGTGAGCGGGTGGCAACCAGAGACAGGGCTTCCGGTAGTGATATCTTGCTTGTGGAATTCCCCCTGAGGCTCACATGGCACTTGTATTGCTTTGTTTTAGGTGCCAGGCCAAAACATTTCTGTTCACCCAGATTTTTAATTAAAGGGTTGATTTTTTAAAACAGTTTTTTTAGTCTGGAAGCTGTTATTTTTAAGCTATCAGTGATCTGTTCTTATAGTCTTTATGCGAGGCTCGATTTTTCATGCTGGATTTTAATTACTTTTTTAATGTTTTGTTTTTATTATTTTTATTTTGTAAGCTGTCTCTGGAGAGGCAGCACAGTTTTTTAAAAAATAAATAAATAATTAACTAGATTGAAGTCCGCCACCAATTCTGGTTTGTGTATTAGTAGAGGCTATGACTAATGTAAGATTTACTTACTGTTACTGAAACCATTCTCAATGGTTTTGGTTTTTGGCTTACCATTTCTTTTCAGTAATGTATTTTTGGTTTAATTTATTTTCGCTTCTAGCATTAAGATGCATGAAAAGAGAAATACCAAGCAGAAGAATGATGAAAAAACTCCAGAAG